TAATAATTAAGTGTGGCATGGGTGCAAAAGTAAAATTTTAGGTTTCTAGATTAGGGGTTCAGAGGGGACAAGATGGAGGAAATTGGGTGTGTCTTGTCCTTTTCCTCCTTCTTCATGCCCTCCATGTTTCACTGTAGTGTTGGCATTTTTCTATTGGTTTAGGCTGGGGACACACTGTTCAACGTAGATGATAGATATTGGCACATTATTGTAAATATAGTACACGTAGTTTTTGGTATATAATGTTTGTAACATCCCACTGAGGGGCAGAGCCCCACACGCTGCCCTGCAGGACAGACCTGCGGCAGGGCAGCAGAACATGTTATAGATAAGCAAGAATAAACATCCTTGAAAAGAGCACAGACGAATTATGGCTTCTTCTTTGGCAACGGGGCACAAAGACAGAGACTTTTTACAATCTCGGAATCATCAATACCTCAGATTCCAACACTTTAACAGCCTTCTTCTCCCTTCAACAAACAAAACTGGCTTTCAAGGAAAAGTCTGATAGGAAAAAGCTTCTTCTTAAGTTCTTTTACTTGAGAAATAAACAGGGTTTTTTCCTAACAAGCTCAGCATCAATTTCAAGCTTACAGCACAAATATGACACCTGCAATAGTGTTGCTCAAGAAAAGTCACCCATAAAGACTGCCAGCTCCAGATCTACTTTTCTAAATAAACCAAAACCAGACTTCAGATACACCATTTCCAGTGTACCTCTCTGCATATGCCTGAAGCCAAGTACCCACACTACACAGAAATATTCAGAGAAGAGGTCAACACCACATGAAAGCCATTTTCAGATTCACTTTCAAAAATTCAGCCAGCTCTATAGAATGTTCCCACCCATATTTCTCCCACAGATACAGAGAAACGCTCTTTCGGAAGACAACTTCCAAAAAACACACACACAAAAATTTAGCCAGAGTTGGATAAAGAAACCATGATACCCCAGAAAGCCATGTCCTTCTGCTGACAAGGCAGAAGCACACATAAATTAAAAGTCTAAAAGTCTGCTAAAAAAGCATGATGTTTTTGACAGCATCAGATTAGTTCATTAAGAGGTTTGTGTTCAGTTCAAACTTATGCACTTAAATTTTCATCATTTTTAGGTCAGTCAGTCCGTCTCCCCAAGCTTTAATTTAAGCTGCAAAGCAGGAGATAAAGCTTTTGTCTCTTTTCCAAGTGCCCCATCTCACCTAATTTAATGACCAATTGTTTGAAGCAGGAACCAGGAGCTAACACAGCACCTAGTCCTAAATCTGACATTAATTACCTTACCACATGCAAATCCTTAATAATACTCAACATCCTGCAAAACTACAGTATTCCCTAAAAATACCAGCAATCAAAAATCAGCAGTTTTAATACCAGGTCTCCTTTAACTCTTGACATAATACTTGCAGACATTTCTGTGGCATATTAAATTTACATACGGAAGATAAAGGACAGATGAAACCCTGAGAACAAAGCCTTCCCACATCACTTCTACAGCGTCACAACTGGAGCAGATCTCTAGCCTAACCAACTGGATTTCAAATTCACAGGGCATATCATTGTCCCAAGGCAACCTACTCAATTAATTGCCTTTTATGAGAGCATTTTAATAGATAATGATGCACAAAGAATATGCCTGGTTCCTCACCAGGTATTTAAGTGGCGCAGGAGAAAGAGAAGCCCAGATGAAATAAAAATGGCACCAAAGAGTCGCCTTGTGCCCTTCCCATCTGTAAATGCCAGCTTCTTTCTCTGTACTTCAGGAGGAGGTGGGGCTGGGAAACACTTCTTTCAGAAGTTCCACCCTTCTTTACAGATGCACAGATTTCATTAATAGTTAACTGGCGACATACAACATTAACTTACCCTGGTATTCACAGCTTTCCATCCACGCTTGTCCCATGGTAAGCAACAGCTTGGGTAAACTGCTTACAAATATTTTCTGCACTGTGACACCCTACACCAAGACTTGCTTTTAGTCTTTTAGTCTCACTGACTAGCTCACTTTGAAACAGTAAAATTCCAGCCATTTTTTTCTGTAAGCAGAAGAAAAAAAAAGTGACAGACTGCTGAGCTGATAACCAACATTCCTTCAAAAAATGCAATACTTAATGTAGGTTTAACAAACTACTTGCAAAATCACTTTTGAGTTTCACCATTGGTGAACTAAAGGTTCTAGGCATGTCACACAAGTAAATTAGAAAGCTCTTCCAAAGAAAATCATTCACCTTGAAGAGCTGACCTTACTCTTGTTCAGGTTAATAAGTCTTCACAGGTGCTCTGGAACAGCCACTAAAGAGGCTCTTGAGTGCAAGGTCTCCTTCACTGTGAAGAACTTTGAACAAGAGAATGTCAATATTAACAAGGCCCTCTGGGCCATAATGTCGTGTATTTCAACATATAAATACTTGAAGCCATTTGAGTATGGCAGCATTCAGAAACCTCAGTGATAAAGAAGAGCTTTGTGAAACTGACAGGCATTTCAACAATAAACTCCATTTAAGAGTCTGCCCAGTCTCATTTTATCTAATTACTTGCCTCCCTTGCAGGAATAGCATGCTATTAAGGTTTGCTGATTAAGATTTGAAGGCACTTTGAAGATTTATTGTACCATACAACCACTAATTATTATTGTTCACACCTGCATTTGGTTGGGAGAAAAATAGCTATGTGCCAAATAATTTCTGTTCCAGATGTAAAAATAAAAATATTTGCCCTGCTGCGCTCTTTAAGAAGTGAACACCTAAAAGACTGCATTTTTACTGTCAGGCCTTCTCTGTGATAGTCAGTCTGTACAAACCATGTGGCTGAAAAATCCCAACATAAAGGAAAAAAAAAAAGCAGAGACACTACAATTTCCTGCCACCAGAACAGGTAACATTTACACCCTGGTAGCTTTCCACTCCCAGGAATGCAATCTCCTCCCCTTCCTAGGCGTCTTCACTGCTTCCCTTCAAGGCACTGAAAATGACAATTCTTCGCACAAGTTACAATGCTGTGCACAAGTTATCACTGGTCATGATGACCAGTCACAGTGGTTATTTACCACTCATCCACACGGTCCATTTTTACTTTCAAAGGCCTCTGAAGCTGTAAATAGACTATTGGGTCACATCCTTTCACCAGGCTCTTTTATCCAGGTGAAAATACACACAGTGTACTCACGCTTTAACATTCTGCCCAATCTTTTCACACAGGTATTTCCTCACTCTTCATCCACTCAAACAGCCTTGAGCCTGTGGAGCTCACAGCCATCAATTCCACTCAACAACAGCCATGGAAATAAGAGGATTTTTTTTTAAATTAAGCTGTTAGAACAACACCCTGTGATACAGCCTGCCTCCTTTTACATCTGGTATATTAAAAAATCTTTACTTTGACTGTACCTTCAACCTAAAAAAAAAACCAAACACCAAACTCTGATTAGGAAAAAATCAATACAAAAACCCTGATCTATAATAGATCCTGATCTAATAATTTATCACATACAGCAAAAGAAATAAAAAAGTCCCATTATGGAAGGAATACATTATATGCCTTTCCACTCACCAAACAGGGTTGTTAGGTTAAAAATGAGTAATAAAGTATCTTTAAAAGATACTTTAAAAGATACTTTATTATCTTTTTTTTCTCTTTCTTGCTGTCATTCTCTTCTTTCCTTAAATTACTCCTTACATTCTAGAACTGTTAATGGAAAGACACACTTGTTGGCAGGTAAAAAAAGACACTCCGAGTGAAACACATCTGCTGCATGTGAAAGCGGAACAGATATGTCCAATTGATAGCACCAGGAGTGGTAGCAAATTCTGTTGTAACTGCACTACCAAAAGATCCTCTGACTAGATTTACTCTTTCCTCATCAGTAGTTCTTGCACAAGATCCACACTGTTTGTTTTCTCATTTGTACCTCTATCGTGGCTGATTCTAACCCTTGCAGAAATGTCTTTAGATCCTATTTCTGGCCATCCAAAGACAGATTCACACAGGCAGCGTTCAGTCAGAGGCCTGATGCTCCAATGTGAACAGTGACAGCAGTCCTACTCTGCAGTGGGCACTCAATGGCATCACCTCACCAACCTGAGCCCAAACTAATGACCTGGGAGTCATGACACCTCAGAATATATATATTCCAGCTTTCTCACATGAGGTTCAACCCTCGGGAAAATGCCGGTGCATTCTGACCCAGTTTCGCTGCACAGTTTCACAAAACACGTCCTCTTCCCTGAAAAGGTTTCAGGAACTGATCATGGTTACTGCCCCAGCTAGTTCCACATGCAAAGACTTTCATATTCCCTTCTCCAAAACTCACACCTTAATAAGATGGCTAGACGCAGATTACCTGCAACCAACCTTACAGTTTCCATGTCCTACATTTACTTGTGATCCTACCTACAAAACCAAACCGGTTCCCAAATGTTTCCCCAGTAAACAGGAGGGGTACGGAACAGCTCCTGGCGGTTCCCTATGAAGTCACTGCCTTTGTTGTTTTAAACATGCAATTTAAAGAGAATGACACAATCTAGAATATGAGAGATTATCCTGCGGTCTGCGGAGGTGTCGATTGCTAAGAGATAAAAAGCCAATGAAACCTATGCTATTTCTCATCACCGGCCAACAGATTTATCCTTCATTTCTGCTCCTCCAAAAACCTTAATGAGGAAAAAGTTTCCTCTCTGTTAACAAGACCGAGGGCTGCGGGGGCTGTTTTGTTTGGCTGGCGCAGACAAACCCGAGCCCTTCCCGGCCGGTAGAGCGTGGTTCTGCTGCTGCCGAGCGCCCAGCCCGGCTCCACGGGACGCGGGCTGCAAATCCCGGCGGGAACACCAACATACCCCGCTGCTGCGTGAGGCCTTTCTTCACCTCTCTCCCACCCCGCCGCGATCCGAGAACCAAAGAAGGCACTCACACGCCCACCGGCGGCCATCCCTGCGGCAGAGCCCCCACCCCTCCGGGAAAGCCCCGCTCGGCGGAGGCCGCCGCCGGGATGGCCGCCGCACACCTACCGCCGCTCCGGAGCCGCCGTCCGCGGTCGCAGGGCGGCGACGGAGCCGAGCAGCGCGGAGCTCCGCCCGGAGCGGCCGCGCAGGGCTGCGCTGGGAGCGCGGAGCAGCATCTCCTCCCCGCCGGCCGCCAGACCCGGCGCGGAGAGGGCGGGAGCGGCGGCGGTCCCCGCCCCGCGGCTCCCTCCTTCCCTCCGCATTCCCTCCCGCTGTGCCCGGCCGGCCCGCAGCCGCCCCAGCCGGTGCCCCAGTACCTGTGGTACGCACCGCGGCCGCCCGGCCCCACCGGCCCGGCGCTCCCGCTGCCCGCTCCGCTCCGCCGGTCGCTACCCCTCGGGGCCGCCAGCAGCACGGGGAGGCGGGCGGCACCGCCCTCCGCCCCCGAGCCGAGCCGAGCCGCGCCTGCCTGCCCGCCCTCCTTCCCTCTCTCTCCTCTCTCTCTCCTCTCTCTCTCCTCTCTCTCTCCTCTCTCTCTCCTCTCTCTCCTCTCTCTCTCTCTCTCTCCCTCCCGCTCCCGGGGCGACGGGGAAGATGCTGACACACGCCCGGCCCCGCCCGCTCCCTCCGCGCCCCGACCGGCCCCGGCCCCTTCCCGCCCACAGGCTCCGGCCGCAGCTCCACAGCGGCTTGAGGATTGACTCGGGACTTGGCTCTCCTGGGGGCGAACTTCAGCCCTGCTCTTGGCTCCAAAGGCACTATTTTGGTTTTGTTTTCTTTTCTATTTTTTTTCTCCTCGGGGATGAACTGGCTGCTCCCAGACCTTGGCTCTTCAGCTGTAAAGTCTTGGTCCGCAAATTTGAGCAAAGCCTTAATGGCAAAGCTTTCAAACACAGCCGATTGTTTGTAGCTTTGGTGAGGGAAAGGACCACTTAATGAGGTGAAAAGTTGGGGGGGTTGTATATATATTTTTTTTTAATTAAGAATTATTTTTCCACTTCGAATGCAAAATCCACTGTGGAACCCACTGCCCACTTGTGCAGTGCGGTTGGAGCTTCCCCGATGGGTTCCTCTGGAGGTTTTGTAGTAGCTCCATCCTTTGTGGAGCCAGGCTGTGGAACAAAATTGCCACGAAATAGCACTTTTAGTCACAAAGAATAATGCACCAGAGATGTGCCCCCAAATTCGGGCTGTGCGAAAATGAACTTTCAGAATGATAGTCTGGAAGAGTTATTCTGTTTGAAAAAAAAATTTTAAATTGTGAAAACAGTTGCTTTAGAGTAAATAAAAATGTTTGACTGTAACTGTTTCCTAGCAAAATACCAATTGCTTTGTATTAACTAAAGTATTAAGGACTCCGCATAAAAGTCAATCTGCCATAACTAATAGTGTCAGGGACTTTGTGTAGGTCGTAACAAAAATAAAGCTGAGTAGTAAAAACTAATTTACATAGGAAGAGGCTACAGTAATCTGAGAGGCTGTTAGTTATGTAATTTAAATATAATTTTCTTGTAATACAAGTCCTTTAGGTTGATAACTATCTACTTACATTTTAAGGTGAACTTACTATATTGGCATTCACATTTCCAAAAGGAGCTAATTTTGGTCCCTGTACATTTGTACATTCTATGGCACCTCTTCTTTCTAGAGGTCAGTGTCTCACTGAAAGAGAAATTTTAATAGGTGTTAATGATCTGTTAATAGATTTTATCTTAAAACTCTACTTTCACACTTCAGATCAATAGATCCATTCACAGTGGACCTAAGCCATGCCACTATATATTCTGTCTTTACTGTACTTGAAGGTAGGCCACAGAAAGAATTCTTTGCAGGAATATGATTTTTTTGTAAAGCTGCATTATTAACTCAAGGAAACAGAATGACAGAAGAAGGACTTGGGGATGTGTTAAAACCCTGCCTACATTATCAGGCAATATTTGATACTTGTACTAGAATACGCCTCTGAATATAGAAGCCTCCTCCCCAGAGAGTCATCTCTCTTAAAAGACTGTAAATTTGATTGTCATTTACTTTCCTCAAAAGAAGATCTATTTCCTTGTTCTTCATCCTCCTAATGAGCATCTGTTCGGGACAACATTTTCCTTGGCCTTGTCAAATGTATGTGAATGCCTTAACAATTATCTCATTAGACTATTTGATTATATTCTTAATTAAACATCTTCAACAAGTAAGCTTGGAGCTTAGGATCAATGAAAAATATAATTACCATCTTTACCTACTGTGCATTTTACAGGGATGCAAATGCATGGGAAACATTGCCATAACTTTAGAAACTTCTTATATCACCAACTAAAAGAAAGACATGGCATGTTGTGCACAAAGATTGATGCCTTGGAATGCCTCCACTGTGGGAAAATGAAATGGCTTTTGTCAGTGCAGTGCTTCTGGATTTGTTGTGAACACAACACATTCACTGCAAAGATTGGCATTCCAGCACCTAAGAGATTCCTGAGTGTGACATTTTCCTAGCTGTTCCGAGGAAGTTTCCATGATAACCAGATTTGCAAACATTACATTTTCCTCTGAAGAGATTGTCTGGCAAATAAATGTCCTCCAATTACTTCACCATCAACATCTTGCATAATTTACTTATAGCTTATGTTTAATGTAGTGCAACTTTGCTTGAGATTAAAGAAAAAAAGAAGCCAATTCACAATATCTACTGTTCATGTTCATGTTGAAACTTCCTTAATAAAAAGTTGGGTCTCTATGCCTAAACTGGGAGATTCAAGAGCATCTCCAAGTTCCTGGTTTGGGATTCATGTCTGGCCACACCTCAACTGTGTATTAGGACAAAACCTGTACATAAACTGGACAGAATCATGCCTTAAGCTCAACCAAAAATTGTGTGGCCTGCTGCAGTGTACATGTAAAAGTGATGTTAGAGGGAGACAAAGTCTGACAATTCACACTTTGCAACTAATGAAAGCCATTAAAAAACAAATGGAAAAGGAAAAAAAGCCCAACATAGGTGCATCTGACACATTTGGCCCACAAAGCACCTTCTGTTTGTCTGTATTAGGTGTTGTCCTTACATTATCTAAAAGATCCTAAGAAAATTACGTGAGTAGCTGAGAAAGAAGGAGCAAAAGCAAATAGCTACCACAAAGATTAAATCTCTGGGAAATATTAAGACAGTACAGTGGCTGTCTGGGATTTTCAAAAGCGACAATTAATTTTGGGTGTTTTTCTGTTTTGGTGCACAAATGGGGACCTCATTTTCAAAAAGTACAGAACAAGTGGTATCTAAACTTTGGCAGCTTGATTCACAGATCCCTTTAGAACTACTGGACATTTTATGTTCTTTGGCTAAATGACAATCAGGGGATAGGGAAAACACTGCCTACAAACATTTGATGAGACTTAATACCAGTCAGAGGAAGTATTTTCAGTCCCCATCTGCAATGAACTCCATTTGTAGGCTAGTGCCAGTGAAGTCTGCAGTGCTCCTGTTGGCCCTGTATCAGTACTGTTGCAAAAAAGAGGCCTGAGATATATTTGGGAGTATTGGTATCTTGTTTAAAAAAAAAAAAAAAAAGAAGAAGTTTACCAGGGAAGTTCTTACACCAAGACTTACAGGATAATCTTCAAGAAAATCTAATTTACAGGAGCCAATTAGCTCCAGATACTTAAAACCAGACTGGTTGAAATAGTAGTAAATATACAGTAGAGAACAATCTTGCCCAGACAGAAACTACTTGTTCAAACTGGTCCTCTCTGCATTTAACTTTGTAGTCTAACTTAATGAAGGTTGTGTTTAGGAATATTACAGTGAAGAGTTAAATCAGAGCAGCGGAAGAGAGACATTAAACTGTCTAGGGAGAGTAGGAGAAAAGGACTTGTTTTCATCTGAGATTTGAAATGAGATGAAGGGTCACCAAGGCTGAGGAATACACAAAGGCTGTCCCAGACTACAGCCTGTTTGAAAGAAAAGGCTCTCACATCAACAGCAGCTAGATTGTATGGAGGGACAGACCAAAGTCTAGACAAGTTGCCAGAGGCACAGGGGGGCACAGAGAAAAAAAGATTTTTTTTCCCAAAATTGTAGTGTTTCTGTTATTTCTTTAATTCAATAATTGATGACTCTCTGCTGACCATATTGTAAAGGCCAGGCATTGTAGATTTTGAATATTCTGTTGTTGCTTTCCAGCATCTACATGCATTGTGTTTGTCTTCAATCTATTCATTCCTCTTGCTGCAATGCAACTTGGCATTATCCTGTGTGCAAGGGATAGCACAACTTCTGCTGAGTACAGTGACAGCTGCATAGTTCCCTCAAACAGAGCAGGAGTGACTTGTACAAATGACAGCTTTATATTCGGCCATGATCTTCAGTACTCACAGGTCAACAAGAAATGCTGCTGATCTAGTGGTGAATTCTGTGATTTGGGTCTGTTATTTTTGAGTTTGGTTTCATGCAAGGAAAGTTGCACAATGACAGTTTCAGTAGGTGGCTGTCTGCAGGCAAACAATCCAACACGTACTTCCAGCATTTACAGTGTGTGCATGGCTTTCTTACACTTCCTGAGCTGCTAGAATCCTTCAGGCTACACACGTGAATTTTTTCTGCTTGATTAAATCCCACTTTGCTAAGGTGACAGAAATGACTGGAAACTAAGTTGTTCATATTCATCTTTAAGGATTGCATGATTTTGCTATTTTTGACTAGCAAATATGTGCATATTCAGATGGGTGATCTTAAAGCTGACTGGAAGGGATGGGAACTGAATATAGTAATTGCAGTGCTTTTCTTTACAAGGTAGTAAACCCAGTAAAAGCTGGCAAAGCAATTAACATAACTCAACCCTCTTTTTCCTAACTTTTTTACCACTGATTGTTGACATTTTAAGATTTTTTTTTTCGGGTTCTGTCATGAATAGCATTCACTCAGGGACACTGGTTGTAGTTGAGTCCTGAAAATTGTGCTCAATATTTTCTTCATGATTTTTTAGTGTTCCCAGTGCTATCTTTACAGAGGCAATACCAGGGTCCTTGCATTTCCTAGTAGCAAAGGTACATATACAAATGTCTGACATTACAGGTGATGAAATATTTCAGTAAAGGTAAAAATATCTATGGATGAAGACATAAGATTGACTGATGCAAACATTTTGTGGAGTCATTAAATGCTTTGGAAAACCAGCAAAAAAAAAGTTTGAAGATAGACTCC